GTTCGCCGAGACGTCCCCTGGCCAGTCGGGCGACTTCTGGAGCAAGGGCCTGCCGTTCACCCGGGTGTTCCTCGGAGGCGCCGGGGTGCTCGCGGATAGGTCGGTTCCCAGACTTCCGACCACCCGTCGGTCGTTGAGAGTAGCACGTACGCTTGGACTCCCAGATTCCAGTCTTCTTCAGCTTCCTTGCTACTCCAAGGGTCCAGCGTTTATCCCTCTTCCCTCCTCGTCAGGGGGTGGGCGGTGACCCAATCTACTTCCAACTCCTTCCTACTTCTTGCTTCATGTTTCCACCCGCCCTTTCCGACCGACGGGTACTCTCGAGACGCCTCTCCTGGAGTTCGTTCGTGGCGCTGGCCCCCCCCCAAGGCTTTTGTCGCCGCGAAGAGACCCGAGCGGCCGACTCTTTTGTCGCTGTGTTTGTTTAGGGGGCCACGTGCGAGCCCTACCCCTACCCCCCACGACTTCCGAGGGGGAGAGTGGGGGATTCACTTCGCTCGGAGGGGGTTAGGGGTAGGGTCGGGGGGTAGGGGTAGGGGGAGGGTCAAGTTAGCCAGCTCGAACGAGCCAGAGGGCTCCGTCCACTCCCAACCCGCCCTCCCACAACATAAGAAGCAAGTGCGTCGCGTCCGACGCCTGTCGCTCATCTTATATCGTGGGCGGCTAGACGTCTGGACGCGACAGCGGGCGCGCCGGCGGCGAACCGCACTTGCTTGAGGCATTCGGACTTGCTGCCCGCCGAGCTCCCCAGCCCAACGGGCCGCAGCGTCGACGACAAGAAAGTCCATGTTGACGAGCAGGCGTCCCCGCGCGATGTGCGCCGCGTCCCATTCCCGCTGCGCGATTCGCAGCGCCGACGAGGAGAAAATGCATGTTGGTAAGAAAAAAGTCGACGTTGCAGTGTTTTTTGGTAGGTAGGACGGGGGGTCCCGCGTAGGGTTGGCCAGGCGTCCGCGCGCGATGCGCGCCGCGTCCCATTCCTGCTACATGTTTCGCAGCGTCGACGACAAGAAAGTCCAAGTTGTCAAGAAAAACGTTGACTTTGCCTAAGTTATTGATAGGTAGGACGCGACCACCCGTTTGGGGTTACCCGAGCGATGTTCATTCCGTCCCATTCCTGCTTCATTTTTCGCAACTCGACGACATGTTGGCGAGAAACAAATTGAATTTGCGTTGGTTTTTGACAGTTCGGACGGCGGGGTTGTTATCGGCCGGCTAGGTGGGGATGTGGGGGTGTTTAATCATAGGAAGTAAGGATGGGGTTCCCGAGCGAAGTGAACCCCACCCTCCCCTTCAGAAATCGTGGGGGATGGGGGTAGGGTTTGCCTGTGGCCCCCGAAGAAGCCCGAGCGGCCCGTTTTTGTCGTCAGGTTGGCCACCTGGATGCCATAAAAGCCTCTCTCTCTCTCTTTCTCTCCTTCCTACACCGAAAACGGTTCAGGGCGAAGAGCTGGCTCGGGGAAGTAGGCCACGGGCCCACGCATCGAGCCAGTCGGAGCGCAGGACGTCTGGGCCTGGAGCTCTCCACCCCGTCATCAAGACTGGCGTTTCATCCTGAGCCCCTTCTTCCCAGGCCACCTCGGGTAATGAAAAGATCGTGACGGGAGGCTTTTTGCTATTTTCTGCTTCTGGGGGCCCTGACCGGCCCTCGTGGCGGTTTAAGAACGACCCAGTATGAAAAACCGGTGCAGGGGAATGGGTCGAGACCTCCAGGGGTCGACGCAATGAACAAATAATGACGTCGGGGGTCTGGGGTTCTGGTATAGCCAGGACCCCAGTGGACCCGGTTAGTAGTAGGGCCCCGGAGCTTCTAAATTGGCCAGGATCACCAAACCAGGTCTGCGGTATAGCTGGCGTTTTTTGTCGGGTGACGGCAATTCCTGTTAAGGGAACGGGGCGGAGGGGGCGTCCCCCAGTACATATCATTAAACCACGTCCCACTAAACCCAGTTATGCCAACGCCCTATTCTTGACGGTCCGGACGCAAAACAAAACGGAAAATGTTTGGCGCGATTTGGACGAGATGCTGCGACCGCAGGGACGAGGAGGGGAGAAAACATGAACCAAGCGCCGGCATTCCATGATTCGATTTCGCGGGTGAAAGCAGACGGCGCACGGGGAGAATTGTTGCGGGGGCGTGCATTTGGACATGGCTTGCGCGTTTTGCCAGGGTGCCACGATCGAAAGGGTAGGGATGCAGACGAAACGAATTAGGACGATGCTTGACGGCATGTCCTTGCCATTTTGAACAGGAGTTGCTGTCGACTTCGCTGCGAACGTTGTCTGGTTATGATAAGCATCGCCTGCCCAACTGCGGTCGCTGTCACTTTTGGAGAGTTTGTTGGTTGGCGCCGTCCTTGTTGATCGTCGTGGCAGGACGCCTCTCTCGTCCAGCAGAGTCGCGCGAGCGACATCATTTGGTATGGCATGGGTTGTGTGCCACGATGGGCCCGGTGTTACCGTGTCAGTGTGCCTCGGAGCTGCGCAGCGCGTAGCACTCTGTCATTCGCGACACGCGATATAGCGCCTGATAGGAGCAATCCACTTCGACCCTGCCAACATCGGTTTCCGGGGTTTGAGGAGGCGTGCGGGAAGAGCCCCCAGGGTTAAGATATCCAAAGTGCATCGAAGTCCTTGGGCTGCAGGGTCAGGATGTGCAGGCCTCTGGCGGCCGAAGTCCTAACCGTGGGACGCCAGGTGTGGGCAGGAGGCAGAGGAAGCAAGCGTCGTCCGGGCCAGAGGGTCGATGACCGAGGTTGTTCGAGGCTTGTTGCCCGCTGGAGGCTCCTGGGAACCTTCGGAGAGCTCAGGAGAGCGAAGCAGATGGGGTTCCAGGGGAAGCGTGGCGTCGATGTCAGGTGGTCCAGGAGAGCAGGTTGGAGGTCACGGTCAGGGGTGGCGGGGTGGCGGGGGGCAGCTGGCAGAGGCCATGCCAGGGGGGACTCGTTTTCCACTCTAACCCTCTTCCCTCCTCTCCTGTTTCTTGGGCCAGGGTGGGTTGTGACACCCACGGGCCAGAGCCATGGTTCCAGGATGCAGGGCACAGCGATGAGGAGAGTGAGGAGGAGGAGGAGGAGGAGGAGGAGGAGGAGGAGGAGGAGGGACCAGAGTAAGCCCAAGATGAGCCAGCGAGGCTGCAAGACGCCCTCCCGTCCCGAGCTCCCTCTTCACGAATCCACACGGACCTCCCCTCTCGCTTCCGGGAGCGCGCCCGAAGAGGCGGGCCTCCCGCGGGCCTGGCCCTTCGGGCGAGGGCCCCCGCTCCGACACAAAGAGAAACTGCCCCCGCGTCCTTCCGGCGGGTGATGAGGAATGCGTCAAGGCAGGATCAAGTCGGGCACGTCCCTCTGCGTGGAGATCCCCATGTGTCGGGGGAGAAAAAGATACGGATACGTGTTGTCCCCCTTCGTTTTCGGCCTTTCCTGGTCCTGCTGGGGAATCCTCGTTGTCACCGCTGGATTCGCCTCGAAATTCTGGTCAGAACGCACCCCAAGAGAGGTCCGGGGACAACACGTATCCGTATCTTTCCGCCCCCCAAATGTGTGCATTTTTTTATAAAAAAAGGATAACGGTCAGTGGGATCTGGGAATGCGCGTCTAGCCATGCAACGCAGCATGCGAATCTCATGTTGAGGCATGCCTCGTGCGTCCTTCCAGCGGGCGATAAGGAATGCGTCAAGGCAGGATTGAGTCGGACACGTCCCTCTACAGGAGGAAAATTCAAGAATGGTCAAACCATAGTCTGGGGACGATTGGCTGACTATTTGACCATTTTGGAGTATTGTTTAACACTGTTCGTCCAGACTCCGCCTGTAGGGGGACATGCTCGACCTAAATGTAGGGTCATGAAACTCGACGAGGTGTCCAGCGAGAGCCACGTTTTGGAAAGGAGCCGCCGCCCATCCGTGCACCTGTTACGCAACATTACAGCTCTGGCTGTTGAATTTGACGAACTTCCCAGCGAGAGCCACATTTTGCAAAGGAGCCTCCGTCCATCGTGCAACTGCTGCACAAGGGTGTGCTGGTGGTAATACAGAGCGGGTTCTGGCTAAGGAATGTGCCCAGGAGGCTTCAGACCCTTCGGGCTTCCTTATCTGATGAGGGCGGCAGTGACTTCACATGGCCAACTTATGACTGGAGTCTGGAGTTCCATCAGCTGCCAATGCACTCGTAGTATTTGTTGGGGGAGTCCCAGGCGAGAGTCCAATTTGAAAAGGATCCAGCCTGCATCTGTTTAGCTTTTGCAGAGTGTTACACGTATTGTAGCAGGTTCTAGGGTCTAGGGAATATCAAGCGAAAGCAGCATTATGAAAACGAACCAGCCTCCATCCGTGTGACGTTTGCCAGGCGATTGCGCGCGGCACTAAGGCGAGAGTCCCATTTTGAAAAGGGCACAGCCTCCATCCGTGTAATTGTTACAAGTTTGAAAGACGAAGGCGCGCGGTGCTATGGCAAGAGCCCCATCTTAAGAATGGCCTGGCCCCCATCCATATACTTGTTGAACGTTCTAAGCGCTTCAGGATTGCACTTTCTCCCAAGTAGGCTTTGCCTTAGGGGCCCTGACTGGTTTTTGAAGAGCCGGTGGGTATTGCTCGGGGTTCCTCGAGTTGCCCGGGTTGCCCAGTTGCCGCCTTTCTTCGGGTTGCCTGGTCTTCTTCGGGTTGCCTCTAATTTCCCCGTTGTCCGTTTGCCAGGTGCACGGTTGCCCGAGTGTTCAGGTTGCCCAGGTTGCCCCGATTGCCCAGTTGCCCGGTTGCCCAGGTTGCTTTGTCAGCAATGCTGTGCAACGCTAAGGAAAGCCTTGCAGCAAGGCCAACCAATGCCAAGCATGGCCATGCAAGGCCATGCAAGGCCAGGCAATGCCAAGAAATGCAAATCAATACGAAACGAAGCAATGCCAAGCAGAGCAAAGCAATGCCAAGCCACGCAAAGTCATGCAAGCAGTGCCGAGCAGTGGCAATCAATTCCAAGCAATGCCCAGCAATGCCGAGCATTGCCAAGCAATGCTAGGCAATTCCAGGCAAAGCAACGCAATGCCAAGCAATGCAATGCTACGCAATGCCAACCAATGCCAAGCAGCGCCACGCAATGCAGAGCAATAACAATCAACACGTAATGCAAAGCACTGCAAAGCAACGGTTTCATTGCTTAGTTATGTATTGGGAATATGTTTCCTAGTTGGGGTCGCGCTGGTTCATGTAAGGAGCTCCCAGGCGAAACGCCCATGCCAGCCTACGGACGCGCCGGGTGGCGCGACAGGGAGGAGTTATTCATAAGAAAAGGAATTGAGAGGGAGGACGAGGAGGAGGAGGAGGAGGAGGAGGCGGAGGAGGAGGAGAAGGAGATGGAGATGGAGGAGGAGGAGGGGAGGAGGAGGAGGAGGGAGGAGGAGGGGAGGAGGGGAAGGAGGAGGAGATTAAGAGGAGGAGGAGGAGGAGGAGGAGGAGTGAGGAAGAGGACGTCGGAGGAGGTAGGAGAGGAGGAGAGGAGGATGAAGAGGAGGGGAGGAGGAGGAGGAGGAGGACGAGGACAAAGAGGAGAAGGGAGGCGGAGAGGAGGGAGGAGTGAGGAGAGGAGAGGAGAGGAAATAGGAATGATGAGGAATGGGACGACGAGATTCAGAGAAGGTGGCCGCTGTAGGTGGGGAACAGGGGCAGGAGCAGGAGCAGGAGCAGGAGGGAGGGAGGGCACGGCAGGAGCAGCAGGAGGCTGGAGCGGAGCACGAGCTTGGAGTCGTCGTTAACGAGGAGGAGGAGGGAGGAGGGAGGAGGAGGAAGGAGGAGGAGAGGAGAGGAGGAGGAGGAGGAGGAGGAGGAGGAGGAGGAGGAGGAGGAATAGGGATGATGAGAAATGGGACGACGAGAATTCAGAGAAGGGTGGCGCTGTAGGTGGAGGAACAGGGGCAGGAGCAGGAGCAGGAGCAGGAGGGAGGGAGGAGCACGAGCAGGAGCAGCAGGAGCAGGAGCGGGAGCACGAGCTGGAGGGGAGGAGTACGAGGAGGAGGAGGAGGAGGAGGAGGAGGAGGAGGAGGAGGAGGAGGAGGAGGAGGGGAGAGGAGGAGGAGAGGAGGAGAGGAGATGCGGGGAGGGGGGAGGAGGGAGGAGGAGAGGAGGAGGAGGAGGAGGAGGAGGAAGAGAGATGAGAAGGCGGATGAGGAGGAGGAGGAGGAGGCGAGAGGAGGAGGAGGAGGAGGAGGAGGAGGAGAGGGAGGACAAGAAGGAGGAGGAGGAGGAGGAGCAGGGAGTGCAAGGGTAGGACGGAGGACCAGGGGCAGAGGAGGAGGAAGAGGAGGAGGAGGAGGAGCAAGAGGAAGAGGAGGAGTAGGACAACAACGACGACGAATGACTACGACGACGACGACGACGACGACGACGACGACGACGGAAGATGATGCCGACGACGACGACGACGACGCCGGCCAGCGATGCCGCCGACGACGACGACGACGGCGACGTGGACGACGGCGGCGGCGGCGGCGGGTGCGGCGACGACGACGACGACGAAGACGACGGATGTCGTCGACGACGAGGACGATGAGTGACCACGGCAGTCGGCGACGAAGGACGAACGCTGTCGTCGTCGACGAAGACGAACGCTCCGCTGCCCCAGCCTCCGAAGGCTTTCAAGGACCTCCGAAGGCTTCCGAAGGCCTCCTACGACGACGGCGGCGGCGGCGACGACGACGATGGACGCCGTCTGGCGGTCCCCACAGGGGGACCCCAGAGGCCTTCTGATCGAGAGGGGGAAAGACACACAGACAGAATTCATCGTCGACTCCCAAGAAAATATGGAAAACATGGGAAGTGTGGTGGTGGTGGGTGGGGTGGGGTGGGGGGGCGAAAATCCAGAAAATGTTGGAAAACATGGGGAATCCTGGGATTCGTGTGTATTTATTTGTGTGTCATTGTGCCTCTTTATCTGGGGCCTCTGGAAACTTTCAGCTTCCAGAGGCCTCATCGTCGTCGTCCAGAGGCCTCATTGTCGTCCTCGTCGTCCCTCGTCGTCGTCGTCCTCGTCGTCTCTCGTCGTCCCTCGTCGTGACGACGGCGACGACGTCGCCTCGGAGGCGACGCACACGGGGGGGGGGGGTCGCCGTCGTCACGACGAGGGGGCGACGACGTCGCCTCCGAGGCCCCCAGAGGCCTCTGGAAGCTGAAGCTGGAAAAAGTCCACCGCGGCAGGGCTGCCCGCGGACGTCGAGCTGCAGGAGGTGCGGGAGGCGGCGGAGGAGTTCGGCGAGGCCACTCCCCTCCTCCTCCTCCCCTCTCTTCCTCCTCCGCCTTCCTCTCCTCCTCCTCCTCCTCCTCCTCCTTTTCTCCTCCTCCTCCGCCCTCATCCTCCTCCTCCTCCTCCTTTTCTTTCTCCTCCTCCGCCCTCCTCCTCCTCCTCCTCCTCCTCCTCCGCCCTCCTCGCTCCTCCCCTCCTCCTCCTCTCCTCCTCCTCCGCCCTCCGCCTCCTCCTCCTCCTCCTCCTCCTCCTCCTCCTCCTCCTTGCAGCCAACCTTCCCAACGACTTATGGGCCCCCTTTTTCGGTGGATCTCTACAACTGTCCGCCCCTGGAAATGATACCCGGCCCACGGAACCCTCAGTGCGGGATCCCACCAATACCACAGTGGGATCCCACCAAGACTTCTTCCTCCTCCTCCTCCTCCTTCTCCTCCCTCTCCTCCTCCTTCTCTTCCCTCTCCTCCTCCTTCTCTTCCCTCTCCTCCTCCTTCTCCTCTTACTCGAACGGTAGATCATTGACTTGTCTAGTCCTTATCCTCTTAACTACTTGTTTCTCCCTACCGCTGCCGCTCTTTCTCGGGGCACGGAGACTGCAGTCTCCGTGCCCGTGCTATTCGCGTTTTATACACCTGTGCTACTTCCTGGACGCTGGAATGCGAATGCCCAGAGATATCGTGACTGGCTCGCTGCTCACCTCCCAGACTGGACATTGCTCGAAGCGGTGCCGAGCCTGGTCTATCTTGGCCTCCGTCTCGGACCCGAAGTTCCACCAGAGAGCTGGATTCCGCCGGCGGCAACATGGAGATCTCGCACCCTCTCGCCGGCAGCAGCGGGCTCCCCCAGGCAGAGTGACAGCGCGCAACCTTTCGGTCAGATGTGTCTCGGTGCTACCTTGTGTTGCCCAATTTTCAGGAGGGAAAACACACAGACACAATTAATCGTCGTCGTCGGTTCCCAAGAAGATATGGGAAACTATGGGAAGTTGGGGGGAAGACAAAAACCCAGAACATATGGGGAAATATGGGGAATCCTGTTCTTTGTGTCGATGTATTTGTGTGTCCCAGGGCCCCTTCAAATGTCTTCCAGTCACCGCTGCTCGGATCACGTCCGAGCCTGCCGCCCTCGCTCGTCTCTGGCGCACCCCGCGCTGCCCTACTTTGGCCCCTGGAGGACAGACCTCCTACCCTGACACGTCGATGAAGGAATTGGCCGTTTTCGGTTCGCGAGAGGGCGTCGCGGCCATCATTTTTGCGGGTCCAGGTCCGTCGGTGTCGGTCCCAGGCCGTTTTCACTAAGGGGAGGTTTATTGTAGTGGCCTCCGGCCAGTGCCGCCGATCCGGGGCGCTCCGGCTGATGTGATCCTTCTTCGCCCTCGTCCCTCCTCTCTTTTTCCCTCCCCTCCTCCCACTCAGCATTTATCCAGTGGCCGTCGGCCTATCCCGCCACCGTGCGTGGGTGGTGGGTCAGAGGCCTCATGGATGCTGGTTGGGATCTCGTGGTTGGCTGGGACTTCTGGAGGCCTCTTGGGCGCCTCTTGGGGCTTCTTGGGGGCCTCTTGGGCCTCTTGGGGCCACTAGAGGGCCTCTTGGGGGTCTCTTGGGAGCCTCTTGGGGCTTCTTGGGGGCCTCTTCTGCGCCCCTTGGGGCCTCTTGGATGCCTCCTCGGAGCCTCTTGGTGCGGGAGAGGTGGTACTCGAGTTCGGAACCCCCTCGGAGGCCACGATCCTTGTGAGGGGTGTCAAAAAACGCATCCGCCGGAAACTCGCACCCCCCCCCCCCACCCCCCCTTCCCCGGCAGAGCCACCCCGGCAACCCCCCCAGAGGCTGAGGCTCAGCCTCGAGGCTGTAGCTGAGACTCCTTGAAACTCACACGCCGGATCGGCGGATTAAAGGGAGGTCTGTCCACCGCCGACTTTGGCCTCTGGAGATGGAACCGCCCCCGCTTTCCGAGCCTCCTCCTCGCCGCTGCCTCCGCCCTCATGCGTGCCAGCCGCAAGACCTTCGAGGGTTGGGGCCCGACGGTTCGACCTCTGCGAGGGAGTGCCGAAGAGCACCTCGCTGTCGTTCTGACTTCTCGGGGCCAGCTTCCCCCTCGCGTTTGGAAGGGAAACTCCCTCCTCCTCCTCCTCCTCCTCCTCCCTCCTCCTCCCCCTCCTCCTCCTCCTCCTCCTCTCCCTCCTCCTCCTCCTCCTCCTCGCGTTTGGAAAAAGGGAAAACTCGCGTTGAGGGAACTCGTTTGCTGAGTTCCCGAGAATGCTGGCAGCTTTCCCCCCATACCTGCCGGATGTGGCCTGATCACGTCGCCTCCCGCCTCGGTGAGCTCCTCTCTTCCTGCTGCTGCGCCTGCAGTGTCCCTCCTCCCCCCCCCTCCCTCCTCGCTTCCCAAGCTCCCGGGCGACCTTCGCAGCCATGCTCCAACAAAATAAGTTCCCCGACGGCCAGGGCGCCATCATTCTGAACGGCGGCCTTGCCCCGCCTGGCTGCCGAAACCGAAGCCCAGATTCGAGCTTGGCCGTGGGGGGACGTCCTCCTCCTCTTCTCCTCCTCCGCCTCCTCCTCCTCCTCCTCCTCCTCCCCTGGCCATTTTCCTCCTCCCCTGCCCATCCTCCTCCTCCTCCTCCTCCTCCTCCTCCTCCTCCTCCTCTTCCTCCTCCTCCTCTTCCTCCTCCTCCTCCTCCTCCTCCTCCTCCTCCTCTCGTCCGCCGTGTTCCCAGTCGAATGTGTTTAAGCTTCTGCTCAGCAGCTGGCCTGCCGACCAGAGATTCCAGAAGGGCGGCAACTGCTTGCTCGGTGGCATCCCCATCGGGATCGCCCCCAATCGCGACGAGCTCTCACACGATTGGTCCTGTCCTCGCTTCATTCACCTGCTCTGCCTCGTCTTGCGCGTCCCCCCTCTCCCTGGCTGCCCCGTCCTTTGCCTCGGTCTCCTCGCCCCTTCGTCTGACTCTCTTCTCGTTCCCGCTGCTGCCACCATTCTGTGCCGCAACCTTCGCGGCCACCGCTCCATGTGGGAGATCGCAGCGTACGAGCCCGTGGCCCGTGCGCTTGCCGCCGCCGTCCGGTCTCAGCTGTCCAGGTAGCGCAGGTAGTTGAGGAGCTGTGGACATGCCGCGCAATCCACGTGCGAGGAGGAGGAGGAGGAGGAGGAGGAGGAGGAGGAGCAGGAGGAGCAGGCCATCTCTCTCTCTCTCTCTCTCTCGTTCCAGGAAGGCGAGGCGAGCGAGAGGGCGAGAGGGCCCAGGGCGAGAGGGCCCAGTTTTGAGATGGCGCCTTTGGCATCCCTCCTGCGAGCGAGAAGGCAGTGCCCCTGGCCCGGGAGGCGCCCCCGGGATCCTCTCGGGGTGGACCCAGACGGCCTCCAGGGCACCCCATCGCAAGGCCCAGGAGGGCCCCAGGGGCTCTGAAAAAAAGCGCAAAGCTGGGGGCATTTTGGGCCAGGACACACAAGGAGGGAGAAGTGGGAGAAGGAGGAGGAGGAGGAGGAGGAGGAGGAGGAGGAGGAGGAGGATGAGGAGGAGGAG